CAGCCTCTCCCTCTGCCAAGCCCTCTCGGGGCGGACGCCGGCCTTGGCTGCGGCTGCGGCGGGGGCAGCCGCAGGCGGTGCGGTCGGGGCGGCGGCCGGCGGCGGGGGTCGCACCGCCGCGGCCGCGGGCACAGGTGCAGGCGCAGGCGCAGGCGTCGCAGCGCATTCGCTGTTTGTGCACGTCCCAAAGTTTGAGGAAATCCCCGAGGAGGGCCAGCGCCGGTTCGCTATTGACCTCATAGAGGCCCTCTGCGAGCAGCTGCACGAGGAGTACTTTGGGTCCGGGCGCAGCCGGGAGGACGGCGGCGGCGGCGGCGGCGCAGGAGTGGGCGGCGGCAGCTCGCCCTCGGTCGAGGGCGGGCCCGTGCTGGCTGCGGTTTAGGTGATGTAATCTGGTGATGCACAGACGTGGTCCACTTGGGCGCATGCAGGGTGCCGAAAGCTTCTGGTATCACTGTCTGCTTAGGGTGCAGGGCTTAGGGTCGCAAGAAAACAGGGGTTCCTGATGCGCCTGTGGTGAGGGATCACAACAGCTGGATGCATGCGCCCCATGCAACGCGACCCCTGCCCGCCCAGTACGTCATCAAGGGGTCTTCAGCGCTGGGCTTGCCTGGATGGACCTGCATGCATCACCTTATCTTTTAATGGTGTCGCAAGATGACAAGGCCAGCTGCTCAGCCCACAACAGAAAAGGGAATAACAGTGGCGCACTGCACGCAACCCTCCGCAGCAAGTGTCAATGTCAGCCTGGGGGATTACAGCCACTCGCAGCGCCAGCGGGCGGCTTCGTGAGCCAGGCGGCAAACACGGACGGCGGCCGCCGCAGCGCCCTCCAAGCCTCCGCATACGACTGCTGGTCATCCGCCCTTGCCGCGGCCCCCGCCTCCCACTCCCCCTGCAGCGCCGCTTTCAGGGCCGCCGGCGTGTTGGCAACCGCCAACCCCTCCCGCTCGGCCGCAAAAGCGCCGCCGCCGCTTGCCCCATCCGCGCCAGCACCGGCGCCGCCGCGGCCGAGGGAAGCGACCCGCGATCGCAGCGCGGCGAACCGCCCTGCCAGCTCGGCGCCGCAGAGGCGCGAGCGGCTCGAGGCGGCGGCGGCGCGCGCCCTGACGCTGCCGGCCTTGCGGCCCGAGGCCGAGAGGGCGACTTCGTGGGTGCCCTTGGGGGGCTTGAGGTTCCGGACAACGCCATTCCTGTGCTTCCGCAGGTCATGTTGGGGCGGTAGGCCAGCTGCAGTCCAGTTGATGGAGAAGCCTGAAGGGCGCAGGGCGTTCGCAGCGTTAAAGGAGGGACGGCGGGCGTTTCAAGGGGGGGGAGCGGCGCGCCGGGCGGGGTGAGGCGGCGTGCCGTTTGTGCGGCCGGCGCTGCGGACGGCAGCGCCGCGTCTGGTACACGCGGGCCGACTGCGCGTGCGCAGCGGGCCTCGGGCCCGCGAGCCGCACCTGACGGGACAGTCCGAGCTTCGCTGGGCGAGAGGCCTAGTTGCTCGGGCGGCGGCCCCACCACAGCCACCGCCGGCGGCCGCCATTCGAACGGCGATCGCAGCCGCTCTTGCGCCACGTGCGCGACCCGGCCCGCCACCGCCCTCGCAACCGCTGTCTGGAGCGCCTCGCACTGGCAGCACTCAAAATGGGCGTCTGCTGTCCTTTCACTCCCGACCCAAGCCCCATCCTGCTGATCCTCTCTCAAAACCACCGTCTCGACGCAGCCACGGCAGCGGCTGCAGCCAGCGCCGCACGGCCGCGGCGCCGACACGCTCAGCGTCGCGACGTGCAGCGGCCGGGCCAGCAGCGACGTCAGCAGGGCGCCCTGCACGCCGAGGCACGCCCAGCGCGCGAGCTTGTCGCTGCAGCTCATGGACAGCGTCGCGTCGCCGCGGCCGGGCTTGCGGCGGAGGGCACTGAGCTGCTGCGGCCCGCACTCCACGTCCCACGCCTGAGGGACGGCCGGGGATGAAGTCGCTGCCGTCGCTGCTCCGGCCCGCCCTGCGCTGTTCTCTGCTGCTGTTAAATCTGTTGCTCGTGCCAATGCTGCTGCTTCTACTGCTGCTGCTGCTGATCTTGCTATTGCTGTGCCTGCTGCCGCTCCTAAACCAGGGCTTCGTTCAGCCTGCACCCCAGCCCCCGCCTCTGACCCGTCGTCCGTCTCCTGGCCGCCCTGCTGGCCAACCACCCCTTGCCGGCAGTCCACTTGGCTGGCGCGGATGAGCTTGGCGCCCGTCCTGCCAAGCGTCACTGAATCCAAGTGGCCTCGCGCCCCCGTGCGGCTTGCGGCAGCGACCTCGTCTGCTGACGGGGCGCCCGCGGCCGGCGACGGCCCCGCGGCCTCGATGCCGGAGGCGCCGCTAGCCGCTGTGCCGCCGGTGTCTCCCCCGCTGCCGGCGGCTGAGAATATGGACCCGTCGCCGCAGGGGGCTTGGCTGATGTACATGTGTAGCTCCAGGCCTGGCGCCGCGACGAAGCGCCGCGTGCTTGGACACCATGCAAAGAGCGGCCACTGCGGCTCTGGCTGCGCCTGTGGCTCATCCTGGTGGGCGCCGTTTGATGGCGCAGATGCCGAAACCGCATGGTCCGCCGCAGCACCCGCCTCTGCTGGCTTGGCCGCCTCTGCTGCCTGGGCTGCCTCAGCGGCTGCAACAGCTGCCTCGAGCTGCCCATACACCCATGCCACCAAGGCGCGGCGAGCAACCACCTCAGCATGGCCGTCTAGAATGAGTTCCCCGCCCGCCGCGCCGACCTGCGCGCCGCCTCCCAGGCACTTGGTGCCGGTGCCTAGCGCGATGACGAGCGGCAGGGAAATCCCGGGCAGCGTCACGGCGAACCCTGTGCACGGGCAGGCAGGCGGGCGCGGGTCAGCGGGGAATGCGACAGCATGCACAGCAGCTGCATCAGCACACAGCGTGCAGTTCGCGGCAGCGGCGCTTAGTACTTGCCACACCTGCAAGTACAGTGTGCTCATGAGGCTGGGCTTTTCCCGTTTTAGGCAGCGCGGAGAAGGCTCGCTGCACTGCTTGCGCCACCTGCCGGGACGGTAGATCCTCTGACTGGCTTGAAAGCACCATGACCCTAATCACTGTGCACAACTACAGTGATGATATAGATTGTTAGGATGATGAAGTGGGTGAAAGCCGCGCCAACGGCTGTGCAGGATGTGTGGGGCTGTGCAGGCTGACCATGCAAAGAAGCTGGGGGCACCCACAGACCCTTGTAGGGTTCCCGCCTTAAAATATACACACCTGCGAAAGCACGGAGAGTAAACACTTTTTCCTTGAGTGCATGGAATGCGCAGGGTGTGATCTCTGGTGACTCCCCATGGTTACAGCCCAGCTTTGTCATTGTAACTCATGACGACGGCTACACATCCCATTTCAACATCGTGATTTTGTGCCGCCCGCCCATCAGAGGCTGTCAGATCACCTGTGCACGGGCCACGGCCGCTGCAGGCACCTGCAGGCTCCTAGGTTGCCTCAAGGATGTCAACACTTGCAGAGAGATTCAATATCAACAGCCAGATCGAGCACCTGCAGGCCAAGTACGTCGGTACGGGCCATGCGGACCTTACCAAGTTCGAGTGGCTGCTGAACATCCACAGGGATAGCTACGCTTCGTACATAGGCCATCACAACATGCTGGCCTACTTCTCGGTGGTGCAGAACGAGTCTATCGGCCGCGTGCGCTACGAGTTTCTGCAGAAGATGTTGCTACCGTGCGGCATCCCGCCTGCAGCGGAGGGCGAGGAGGCCGCCACCGCCGAGTGAGCGCATGACTGCCTCCTGATCAGCTCATCATGCAGCGTGGGTCGGCGCTAGCTTGGGACCGCACTCTGGCGAATCTGCAGGCATGCCCGCGGCGCAGCTGGGGCAGAAGCAGTGGGCGGGGCGCGGGTGCATCTCCGCGTCGCCCGTGAGCGCAAGCCAGTGGTACTGGACACGTCGCAAAACCATCGCCGGCAGCATGCGCATGGGCGGAGTCATTGCGTTGTCGCGGCGGTGTGCGGATCGCTGCAACTGCCGGCAGGGCGCCTGCATGTGTAGTCACATGCGTTGCCGCCAGCCGCGGCCAACACTACTCGGCCGTCGCCGATGGTGCGCAACAGAGCCTTGTTGCAGCCGCAGATGGCTCGGATACCCTTGCACCGTAGGCGTGCCTTTCAGTGCAGCTGGTGTGTACGAACGCTTCGCAGGCCTGCAATGGCAACATGCTCTCCCGTCTATGCAGGTCGTGTGAGTGGCCTGCAGCCACGCCCTTCCCAGGCAACCGTCACCCGCACCCCACCGCACCTGGATGCTGGTGCTTTGCAATATTTCCACGTTACAACGCCATGCCACTGCAACACGTGGTGTTTGTACCCACTTATGATGACTTGCGCATCAACAGTAGTCCCAAAAGCGCCGTGCTGGTGTGTAATACCCAGGAAAGCACGCAGAGTCTCAATTGTGCCACACTGGCTCTGGGACACGGAAATTTTCTTACGGGGGAGCGGCTGTGCAATGGCACAAGACACACTTCGCAGTCCGAGACAGCCACCAGCCAGTCCTGCTGGGTTTCCACGTAAGCACAACCACGCCAAATGCTGCACAGAACTCCAAACGAACGAGGCCATTGGCACGCTGCCGGACTGAAATGGCAAACAGCACAGGTTGGATTGCGCAGAGTGACAACAGCTGCACACAGGTACTGTAAGTTACGTGTGGAGCACCCCATGACGCGCTGCACTCCGCTCCCTGGCCACCCCGCCCGTGTGTTCTCCTCGGGTTCGCAAGGGTGCACCTTGATCACCCGCGAGTACGGCAGCCCCATCACGTGCGAGCTTTGCAGATGCTCATCCTTCAGAACTTCCATACGCGATTTGCCTCATTCAACAGCTTGATTACTGCTGCAAGCCTGCAGCTGTCGGACAATGGGACGGGGGGAAGCTCATTCTTCACAGTTGTGGGAAGGGTGAGTGTCAATGCCAGCGAGTGAGGGACCGGCCGCCCCACAGCTCCTGCACCACTTTTGGCAGCCTTGCTTCATAAATTCTGGCAAATTCATACTAACAATAGCACAAACAGCCCACCTGCCTTGAAACCAACACCGGGCGAGTGAACTTTGAGCGACCGTTTAGATCGACTACAGACAAAACCAAAGCGCTTCATCATCTGGAAATCCACTAGCACGTAGGTAGAGGTCAGAGGTATAGGTCATCACATCGCTGCTCCACAAATATGGCGAGGCTCGGTACTGGCGTTGGTGAGCAACGTGGTTGTCGGCGCGGCGTTCAACCAGCGCACCATTGACGGGCAAGCACGGGTGACATGCACTGTGAGTCCTCACCCAACCACCTGCGCACTATAGCTCACCCTCTTCCGTCGCCACGGCCACCCTCCGCAGCCCTCCTGCTGGTGCTGTGCAGCGGTGCCGCCCTGGCCGCTCCCCTGCGCGTCGCTGGCGTGTCTAAGCCCTTCTCAAGTGCCACCGGCCGCCGGCTGCTGGGGCAGGACTGGTTCGGGCACGGCCGCCTGTCCAGCTTCTTGGCTAACCGCTGGCTGGCGCACCGCGGCATTACCACTGCAACCGCCACGGCCACAGCGACTGCCACCACCCTCAGCGGCGACCCCACCCTCAACAGCCTTATCCGCACCGACGCATTCGCTGCTGCGCGCGCCATCACGGGGCCCGGCATGGACATGGACCAGGCCGCGTGGTCGCTGATGAGCGCCGCGCAGGCCGGCGCCACGGCGGCCGTGGGCAACGTGTTTGCCCACACCGCGGTCCTGGACCAGGGCTGCTTTACCGAGGTGTTTGCGAAGAGCGCCGCCACCGCCATGAACGAGGGCGCCGACATGCAGGCAGGCTTTTCGTCAGCCACGGCGGCGGCGTTTGCGGCGGCCAGCGCACAGGGCAGCATCCCAAGCTTCGCCATGGGGGTGGCTGACGCTATGGCGCAGGCACGCAGCTCATGGGGCAGCGAGTTTGGCTCCGAGTTTGCCAGGATGGTGAGTTCCGGGGCACTTCTGCGGTATCGGGGCGGCCAAGACACCATGATCACAAGGAATCTCGATTGCTGCTGTCTGCATCAGCAACATCGTGAATGCACCTCCAGCTATGCAGTACCCATCCTCCCTTGCTTGCACACACGCATTCGTGGGTCCCTTATCCCACCCACACACTCACCCACCCACCACATTCATTTGATTCCTGCAATGCCCCTCTTTCCGACCAGGTTGGTTCCGCCATGGCCCAGGCTGTGGCCGCGGGCAACGATGGCGCAGTTGTGGAGGCCACCGCTTCTGTATTCTGCAGCGGGACCACCGCGCAGGCGCAGGCGTGGAGCGAGGCGGTGGCGCAGAGCGTGAGGGTCAACCCTGTGACGGGCTGCGTGATTGTTCAGCGCGTGGTGGCACGCGCTCAGGCCATGTGCACCAACGGCGTCGCGACAGCCACTGCCCAGAGCTTTGTGACGCGCCAGGTGCTGCCGGGCACCTGCAACGTCTTTGGCTGGACCACTGGCGGCTCCTTCCCCGCTCAGCAGCAGGGCGGAGCACGCGCGTTTGCCAGCGCCCAGAGCTCATCTACCTTTGGTGGCGCCGCCTCATCGGTGGCAGCCAGTGTTCAACAGTTCCCGTAAGTCTGTGCACTGCGCTGTAGATGCGTCTGGGTTGTAGGAGTCAACTTTTTTGGGTGCATAGCTCCAAAGCTTAGGTCTGCTGTTATTGAGGTTGTTTAACAGCTTTGCGATCGTTTTGATGGCACAACCACTTCATTCTGCAAAACTGGTCTAGGCATGCACAAGGGACAGGTGAACCGCAATGATTGGCAACTCGCAAATGTTCCCATGGGCGCTGAAACATCGTGCCTCGTTGCTTGCACGACATGCAACGCCACCAAACATTTGCCACGCCAACGGCATGGCACTTGCAAGCAATTGCAGGCGTACCCCCTGCGCATTCTGCCACCCCTTGGTGATTACCTCTGTCGTGCCCTGAGAGCGGGCTGCATGTTTCGCTATTTGCACACTTGTGTATTGCTGTTGACGACTTCAATCAGACCCACTCGCCTTATGTATCATATTCTGGATGCCTGGAACTGTCATCAGCGCACACATGCCCTGACATCCTAGACATTGTCCCAGACCCCCTCTAGATTTAATTGCTTACATGTAATGTGATAACTCTGATAGTGACAATAGAGGCACGCGTAGGGTGGCCCTTCCTCGCAATTAATCACTGGTGACGTGATGCAGGTCCACGTGCTGGCCCTGCTCCAGGGCAACAAAGCTGCAAGCGCGACCATAGCCCGCGGGGTACCCTTTTTGGGCAACAACAGTTGAGGATATGCATGTAACACGGGTTGGCCTGGGGATGCATGCAAGCAGAAAGTGGGCCTCTGCCCAGTGCCCGCACAGGCAAGATGTGGTCTTGGTCTGAACACCCGCGTGTGCTGGCCATAACCCCTTACAAGGCAGCTTGGATTATTTTGAGTCCCAAAGCCTCGTGGCTTTCTGTCTTCTCGAGCAATCAATTGCTTGCAGCCCGCGCATGCCCACGATAGGCTCTTGGACTGGCGAACAACGCACTGTTGGCGGAGGCTCTGCCGTGCAAGCAACCCCCGTCAGACCCGCATCAAAATTTACAAGTTGTGCTCTTCAAATTCTGAGCCCTGTATTGCTGGTAGTCCCGGGGTGGTTGCCATAGGTCGTCGCACTGCACCCATGCCTTGATCCAGACCGGCCGGCAGCTGCCGAGTAGCGCCGTGCCGCTCAAGGAAAGGGTGAGAGGTTAGCCGCCCTGCAGTGACACGCCGCTAATGATCTCTGTATTGATAAGCTCTAGGAGCCACCATACATTGAGTGAAAGCTCATTCTGCCATCTCCTGAACGTGGGGAGGCGCGAATCAGACCGCGGTCCGTCCGCTAACGACGTTGGCACCTCAAAGCACGGGACACAGTACAAATTATTCCGCTTGAACCAATGGCTAAGCTTAGTGCCCGCATTGGTGAGCGGCATGACAAACACGGCTGTCAACTAATCATTGCGCCCACGGCACATCAGCCGATTGGCCAGCCACCCAGCAGCCACTTGACATGACGGGCGCGCCTTACAACACGCCCCACTCCACAATGCATCACTAAGTACTCTTTTAACGCCATCCCTCCGCAAACCTCACCTGGTCGCCTTGGACGCAGCGGTCCTGGTGCTGCTGTTCAGCGCGACTGCTCTCGCGGGGCCCCTGCGCACCGCTGGCGTGACCAAACCCCTGCCCAGCGCCACCAGCCGCCGGCTGACAAGCCAGGCAGATTTCTTCGGCGGACGCCAGTTCGGCGGACAGCAGTTTGGAGGCTTGCACCACGGCTCGGCCGCTGACCAGGCTGCAACCATCACCAGCGCCACAGAGGCCGCCACTGAGAACGCCTTGCAATCCGCCGACGCCAGGGCCGCAGCCATCGCCTCCGGCGCTCCAGGGGCGCAGCCCTCTGGCGAGAGGGGTGACCCCACCGTCAGCGGCCTCATCCGCACCGACCCGCTCGCCGCTGCGCGCGCCATTGCGGGGCCCGGCATGGACGCGGATAAGGCCGCGTGGTCCCTCATGAGCGCAGCAGAGTCTGGCGCCGCAGCTGACGTGGGCAAAGTGTTCGCCCACACCGCGGGCCTGGACCAGGGCTGCTTCACTGAACTGCTGACGAAGAGCGCAGCCACAGCCATGGCTGAGGATGCCGACATGCAGGCAGGCTTTGTGTCAGCCACGGCGGCGGCGTTTGGGGCGGCGAATGCACAGGGCAATTCGCTGCGTTTTGCCTTGGGAACAGCCGACGCGATGGCGCAGGCGCGCGGCGAGCTCAGCTCGGACCTTACCAACTTGGTGAGTGTCAGAGTGCAGGTGGCAATGGGACAGTGGGGTGTCATGAGGTTCAAGCCGGTCAGTCAGCCGCCCTCTTCCGCTGTGGAAGCCTTGTTGCTGCACCCCTGTCAATACGGCTGCCTCTACAATGCTTGCTTGCGTGCACCGCCGGTCCCCATTTCACCCAGCCACCCTTCGTCCCAACATGACCCGCACTCGCCTTTCCCATCTTGTAGGTTGGCTCGGCCATGGCCAAGGCCGTGGCCACTGGTGACGACGGCGCAGTCGTGGAGGCCACCGCCACCGTGTTCTGCAGCGCCACCACAGCTCAGGCCAAGGCGTGGAGCGAGGCGGTGGCGCAGAGCGTGAAGGTCAACCCTGTGACGGGCTGCGCGATCGTTCAGCGCATGGTGGCGCGGTCCCAGGCCACGTGCACCAATGGTGTGGCCTCCACCAATGCTCAGAGCTTTGTGACTCGCCAGGTGCTGCCTGGTTCATGCAACGTCCTTGGCGCGGCTGCTGGCGGCTCCGTCCCCGTCCAGCAGCAACAGCAGCCACAGCAGCAGCAGCCGCTGCAGCAGCCGCTGCAGCAGGTGCAGCAGCCGCTGCAGCAGGTGCAGCAGCCGCAGCAGCAGCAAGCTGCGCTGCCAATGCTGCAGGCCAACAACGCCGGCGCTTGGAGCAACATGGTGGGCGGCGGCTTCCCTGGCGGCATGGTCACTGGCGGAGCCCGCGCGTTTGCCACTGCGCAGAGCTCGAGTGGGTCTGGTGGCGCTACGTCCTGGGCGACATCGACATCCTCAGCTCAAGCGATGCAGTGAATGTTGCTGTGCACGCCATGCGTGCAGCAAGCTCCCAAGCTTTGCTCAGGACTTATTAGGGTTTATTTCTTTACTGCAGCTTTCAGGGTTGTGAAAGTGTGTGGGGTCACATTACCACCATTTATCATATTTTGTACAACAAACAAAAAAAATTAATCTGAAGTTGCTTTTTATCAGTGTTGAATCGTTTATTCATCGCTTCTTCGCGCACACCACGGCAGTGCAGTGGATTAGGTTGCCAGCAGCACCAGATGGCGCACCCGCCCGAGTTAAGCCGTTGCTCTGGTGTTTCCCATATTGGCCCCGCTGCACAATGCGCCCAGCCTTGCACACAATCAGATAGAACAGAAGCTTGACCCTATGCTGTTGCGGCCCTGGAGAACTTTTTTTGGAAATGGCTTTGAGCCCTCATAACAGGACCCCTATGTATGCAAGCCCAGAACTTTGCCATTAAGTGAACAGGTGAAATATTCCTGACCTGCAAGCATTACGCGACCTCTCGCAGCACCACTTGGCAATACCAACTAAAACCTGCGGCACAACAAACTTTTGACCTCCAGCCACAAGTGTCACCACAACTCACCCTTTCCTCGCAAGTATGACCCACAACCATGGCGCAGCCTGCAACAAGCCGTGGCGGGTCAAGTGTCATTGTGCCACCTGTGCAGTGCACAGCATTGCATGTGGTAAACCGTGCACCATTGGCTGCGATGGTGGGGCCGGCACGCCCACAAGCCAGGCATCACCTATCTAAGCATGCATCATACCCTATTTGCCGGTGGCAAGCTCTGCAGACTGACCCCACCTTGATGTCGTCACTGCTACAGTGTCACTGCTGCAGTGAGCTGACGTTCCAGCCCGTGCGTGCTGCCTGGCAGAGGGCGCCTTGGCAGAGAGCGCTTTGGAGCGAGAGGCGAGACAAACTTGATTTTTGAGCTTTTACAAGCACCTGGTCTGTGATAGCTTTTGAAGAGTTGCGACCCTCCCGCCTCGCTTGTCAGGGGCCATCTCAAGACAGCGTGGCCGCCATGCATGGCTCTTGCCGGCATGCTGCATGCGCATCAGACCACCACCTGCCCTCTGCTGCATGTCAGGCCGGACGCAGTGTCATGCATACCCTTGTCAGAGCCGTGTGCGATTAGCAGACTACAGTCTGGTCCTGGTCATGGCAATGTCTGCATTTGGCAGTTTGCGGCGTGGTCCTGCGAGGCTCGTGGCCTGGTCTCAGGCATGGCACTTGGACAGGTGTCCTGGCACTCTGAGACCGCATGCAGAGGGCATAGCAGCGTCCTGGCACTCATGCGCCTTCTATTTCAAACTGTGTCGTCCATAGCTGCCACGGTCACCTCGCTGCAGGCCCCCCAAGCTTGTCATGTCGGCCGCCCAGCAGGGGCCCTGAAAAAGTGTGAGGCAGGGGCAGCCGCCCTGCAGCAGCAGCGGCAGCGGCCGCGCAACTACGCTTTGCTTGCTGCGAGCTCTGGATCACCGTTAACTAACTACACACAGCGATCTTCACACAGAACAAAAGCGCCATCTACAAACAACTTATAATCGAGCTGCTGGTGCGGGCGCCCAATACGTGTTGTCTTGTTTCACCAACACAGCAGCCTGCAGCGCTGGCACATCAACTCATATACTGTATCAATTCAACAGTATGGCCAGGCTCACTGCGTGTGTTGGTGAGTTCATGGGTGGGGTGCGGATGTCATCTCACCTCTCACCGGGTCAGCCAAAGCCGACGTGCAAGCGAATTGGCACCGTGTGTGGCGTCGGTTGATGGGCCGTTGCGTGTTGCTCAACAGCCAGGCCAACACCGCTGTTTGTTTTCCTCACCTACCTGCCGTGCCATACCCCGCTGTCGTCTCCATCACTGCACAGCCCTCCTGCTGGTGCTGTGCAGCAGCGGCACCCTGGCCGCGCCCCTGCGCACCGCCGGCGTGTCCACACCCCTGCCCAGTGCCGCCAATGGACGCCGGCTGCTGGGGCAAGACTGGGGTGGGCGAGGACGCCTGTTCAACTTCTTCGCCAACCGCTGGCTGGCACGCCGCGGCGTCACCCCTGCGACTACGGTGGCTCCATCCACGGCCACAGCCACCGCCACCGCCGCGGCGGGGACGCAGCACGCAGCCCCCAGCGGGGACCCCACTGTCAGCCGCCTCATCCGCGCCGACCCACTCGCCGCGGCGCGTGCCATCACGGGGCCCGGCATGGACATGGACCAGGCCGCGTGGTCGCTGATGAGCGCGGCAGAGTCTGGCGCCGCAGCGGACGTTGGCAAAGTGCTTGCCCACACCGCGGGCCTGGACCAGGGCTGCTTTACTGAAGTGTATGCGAAGAGCGCAGCCACTGCAATGCACGAGGGCGCCGACATGGAGGCCGGCTTCGTGTCAGCCACAGCGGCGGCGTTTGGGGCGGCGAGCGCACAGGGCAGCACGCAGCGCTTTGCCCTGGGGGCAGCCGACGCCGTGGCGCAGGCACGCGACGCGTGGGGCGGGAAGTTTGGCTCTGAGTTTTCCAGCATGGTGAGTTACGGGGGCTAGCTCGGGCCGGGGTAGTGGGAAAAGGCGGATTTACAAGGCAAGGTGGGCGCCCCCCCCTTTGCTGCTTCCTGTGTCAATAACTCTTTGCTTTGCGTGACGCACCCTTGCTTGCCTGTGCGCTTGCACGCAGGCAAGCGCTGTCCTCGTGCACAGGATTGAAGCCACCAATCTGTATGCCCACAGTACTCATTGACTGTCCTTCTCACGCTCCCTTCCTCCAGGTCGGTTCCGCCATGGCCAAGGCCGTGGCTGACGGCAACGGTGGCGCAGTCGTGGAGGCCACTGCCACCGTGTTCTGCAGCGCCACCACCGCACAGGCCCAGGCGTGGAGCGAGGCGGTGGCGCAGAGCGTGAGGGTCAACCCCGCAACAGGCTGCGTGATTGTTCAGCGCGTGGTGGCACGCGCCCAGGCCATGTGCACTAACGGTGTGGCCACCAGCAATGCTCAGAGCTTTGTGAACAGCCAAGTGTTGCCTGGTTCGTGCAATGTCCTTGGCTCGGCGCCCGGAAGCTCCTTTCAGCAGCAGCAGCAGCAGCAGCAGCAGCAGCAGCAGCAGCAGCAGCAGCAGCAGCAGCAGCAGCAGCAGCAGCAGCAGCAGCAGCAGCAGCAGCAGCAGCAGTGGCCGCAGCAGCAGATCGTGCAGGCTCAGGCTCAGGCCATGGCCACAGCTGGCCCCTCATTCCTGAACAGCAGACATTGAACGACCACGCTGGCTTTGTAATGACTCGTCATGCCCTTGCTATATGGCTGGCTTCTGGTCTCGCGCTGAGCAAGCACCAGCAGGTCATGGTTACCACTGACACCATTGTAATTTGATAAGTTCAAGGTCCCGTATGCACGAAAGACCAGGCGATGGGCATCAGAATTGACAAGGCATGGCTTGAAGTAATCTTGGTTGCAGATGCGACCAAGCCCAACATGCAAGGCAGCTACTGGCATCCCTGTTCCAAACCCAAACCTTTGGAGTGCCTGTTCTAGGGTGTCCAGCCGCCTCCATTGAGTCACCTCGCTCACCATCCGTAACCAGATTAGCAGGCCACCCTGTTTTCTTGTTTTTCGTGCACCTGTGCACCAAGCAGCAGCGGCGGCTGTCATCATATCTATGTCACCATCTTAACCTTTAGACTGAGACACCCAGACACCGTGGATGGTGCGTACATCCACCAGTGTGAGCCCAACGCTGCAATGGGTAGTTGGTCCAGTGCAGCAACGACACCCGTCGGTGTCGCCGCCCAGCGGGGGGAAGACATATTGCACCTGGCCATACCCGTCGACCTCCCTTTACAATCTAATAACCTGGCAGTTGGTGGTGCTTCAACCCATCCCAAAGCAGCCGGGCGTGCCCAAATGTTGACCATCTTAGCCTTTGCCCCAGCCATGCTCGCTACTGACTCTTGTGTGCATCAGGAAGTCCGACAGGCATGCTGTGCTGATTGAAGAATGCCGCTGACGGGGAATACCTCACAAGCAGAAACGACCGCGCGCAGCAACCCAGCAGAGGGCTGGGTTTGAACCTGCGGTGTCGCCACCGTGGGACGGGCAGGTGTTGGCCTGCCGTTTGGGCCCCTTGCATGTACAGCGGTCAATCTTCAAAACACCCAGTCACCTCTGTGCAGCTCATGCCGCCCATGTCGTGTAGTCGAGGGGCCTACACCAGGCCCTGACACCGTGCCCGGTGACGGCCTGGTGCCCCATCGCCGGCCACAACACTTTGCAGTGTTGGTCCTCACAAGGTGCCGCACAAATACCCAGGTCCGTACTATCACCGTTTGATAGCGTCAAAACAGCCCGCGCTGCAACGGAGATCGAAGCCCATTCGCGTTGGCCCGGTCGGGCAAGCAGGCTGTGAGGCAAGGCGGGATGCGCAGGGCATCAGCACTTGCGGTGCTGGTGGTAGTGATGCTGCTGGCGCGGACGGACGGCGTGCTGGGCGGTGGCAAAGGTGCGTCGGTCTCAGGGTGGCAGCTCCAGGGAGTAGCGGGTGACCTCGGGCCCTGGTAGCATCACACAACGCAAATGTTGGTTGCAGAAGAGATTGTGATGCAGGCTGCAGGTCACGGTCCGCGATGGCGTCTGTGGCTCCATGTGTGCGCTTGCACCCCGCTTTGAAGCACAGCCTACAGCGACCCCGGGAGCATACGCAACGCATCCAAAAAATACGTTCAAGAAGATCTGAGCACGCGGCCTTCCGCCGCAAACCGCCGCGCAGCACCCGACACGCCTGCAGCAGCAGTCAAGGCGGCGCAGAAGCCGGCACCGAAGCCGGCGGCGAAGCCGCCGCAGAAGCCGGTGCCGAAGCCGGTGCCGAAGCCGGCGCCGAAGCAGGCACTTGCGGCCGCCCTGTTGGTGCCGCCTCCGAGCACCTGCGTGGCCAAGCTCGCGGCCGCCGCGAGCGAGTGCAGCAGCTGCCTGAACAGGGCGAACAAGGTCGCTTACAACCGCCTGGACCGTGTGTTTGGCATGCGCGGCAACAGCGCCTTCAGGCTCGACCTGACCCGATTCTTCAGCCTGGCGGTGAGCATCGGCACCGCTGCGCGCCCCGCCTTACAACCTACGCTCCTGTGCACGCTGTACGAGCGCTCGACGCGCGTGCCGCGTGCGTTGAGGGCGGACGTGGCACGCTACCAGCTGTGCCGGGCCGACGGCGCCCCCATCCGAACCGCCCCACGTGCGACCTGACGCCTGCAGGTGTCTTTCACCCAAGACACCGTGAAGGCGCCGGCGCCCTGCTGCAAGGTGGCGGCGGAGGTTTTCAGCCAGCAGTTCCAGAGCCAGTGTGCCTGCCTGCCCGAGGTCGTGGCGCACACCAAGTGGTTCGACAAGGAGCTTTTTGACTATTGTGAGCGCCCGTGGCGGCTGCCTTCCCAGTGGTCACCACAACTTTGGGAGGCCGTGAAAGCCGCTTTGTTGGGCACACCGGCCAGGAAGCACGGGCTTGACAAATGGCGGCCCCAACGGCCCGGCGCGCCCGATCAGCGGCCGCTCACTGTATTGCAGCGCAGCACCACGCGGCATGGCGGGCGCGGCGGCCGGGCGCCTCAGCTCGAGCCCAGGGACCCACCCGCGCCCCCTTCGCCCCCATCCCCGTCCAGACTTCAACTTCCTCACGACCAGCTGTGGCCTCGAGGGCCCCAACGTGGCCCCCTGGAACGCCTGCGGCCTCAACACCGCCGGCTTCATCTACAAGGCGCAGGAAAAGGCGTTCACGATCCCCGACTGGGTCGACCAGATCGTCGCGTCGGGCAGGGGCGTCGCCCAGGCCGCTGTAAGCACCGCCGTCGCTGTGTCGACGTCGGCCGTTAGCGCCGCGACCAGCGTCGCCGGCACCGCCGCGGGCAGCTTCGGATCTGCGCTGACCGGCGCGGCGGGCGGCGTCGGGTCGGCGCTGTCCGGCGTCGTCGGGGGCGTCGGGGGCGTCGGGCCGTTTGGCAGGCGGCGGCGGATGCAGGAGGGCCAGTGCAGCGCGTGAGTGCGGTGCTGTGGGCGGCCGGCGGCGAGACTTTCGGGGGGTTTCCAATTTTCAGGGTTGGGGACGCTGCATGATGGAATGGCAGTGGCCTGGCTGCGAGCCCGCATGCATGCATCTTCGCCCCGTGCGCTCGCTCAACCCAAGCGGCGAACCGAAGCTGCGCCCGCGCCTGCGCCCCTTGCTCCTTCCACCGCAGCGGCGGCGACGGCGTGCGGGTGGCCCTCAACAATGCGTCGGTGGCGTTCTACTTCCTGTGCCCTCCCGGCAAGGGCTTCTGCAACAACGGCAACTGCGTGTACGGGCGCACCCCCGCGGTCGGCAAGGGGGAGTGGGCGACCTGCGCGCCTCTGTCTGGCTGCCCCCAGTTTGACATCTCCCTCGGCCCGAACGGCTGCTTCCCGGCCGCCGCGACGGCCCGCGTCGCCGGCGGCGGCGCCAAGCGGATGGACGAGCTGCGCGTGGGCGACAAAGTTCTCGCCGCGAACGCCGCCGGGAAGCTTGAGTACCAAGACGTTTACTTTTTCGGCCACAGGGACGCGTCCGCGGCGGCCCAGTTTGTGCGGCTCGAGCTCTCATCGGGCGCGGCGCTTGAGCTGACCCCCGATCACTTCGTCCCTGTGCTGCCCGGCGCCGGCGCGGCCGCGGGCGCTGCCGCGCTCGCCGCGGCGCGCATGACGCACGCGCGACACGTGAGGCCGGGCGACCGCGTGCTCGCGCTCGCGCCGGGCGGCGCGGCGCTGGAGGAGGCGACCGTGTCCCGCGCGGCGGCGGTGGCGCGCGAGGGGCTGTTCAACCCCTACACCCTCGGCGGCAGCATCGTGGTTGACGGCGTGCTCGCGTCTGCGCACAGCGGCTGGCTGGTGGACGGCGCGTTCGCCGCGGCGGGCGCGTCGCACCTGATGCCCGCGTTCTTCCAGGCGCTCTTCGCGCCCCTGCGCGCGGCGTACGCGGTCGCGGGGCCGGAGTTCATGCAGCGGTTTGGGGACGCGCTCGCGCGCGCCGCGCTGCGGTTAGAGGCCACGCTGCTGGCCAGCGGCGGCGGCAGCGGCCCCGCCATCCCAACGGCCGCGGCGACGGCCGCGGCCGTGGTCGCCGGCGCGTCGGCCGCGCTGAGGCAGCGAGCTCGGGCGTGATTGCGCTCAGCCCATGCTGCGGGGCTCGGCAGCGCCGTCCCTGCGCGCACTCGGAGGAGCGAGCCCAGTTCGGGCTTATTGGAGCGAAACAGCTCACCACCGCATTGCTTCCGTCCATGCAGCAGAGTTGCTTGAACTGCAAAGTTTGATTGGGCAACTCCCGCCTCGCCTGCCCCGCCGCGCCCATGTTTTTTGTCAGTAGCGAGTCAGTGTTTTGGCAGCATGCTGCGGCCTTTGAGCCGCCCTTCTGTTCGCTCGTCATTTCGAGCAATCTTCACTCTCTGCGCCGCCGGGGCCCTGGGTGGCGGCTCCAACATGCCCCGGCAGGCGGTGCTGCCGGCAGCCGCATGCACGGGAGAACCCCGCCGCCTGGACCTGCGGCCTTTCGCACGAGGGGGGGCGCGCCCCTCACGAGGGGGGGTGCAGTTGGGGGGACGCCTGTCCCGCCGCTGCCCCGCCCCTGGTGCGTGCGACCGACAGCGTTCAGTGGCGCAGGGTCCTGCCCTGAGGATGTGTTGAGTGTTTGTGCGTGGTTGGTTTGTGCCTTCGTTGTGGTTTTAAGTGTGTTTCGGAACTGCAAGGGCTGCGAGGCTCACCGTGTGCGCTGCCACGCTGTCAACCTCCTCGCTCGGCCCCGGACGCCAAGCGCTGCGACTTGTGGGCGCCACGTGGCGCACGGGCGGGCCCCTCCGCTTGCCGGCGTCGTGCGAGCAGGCGCGGACCGGGCCTGCTTGCCCCGCCGGCGGGGCGGCCCGCGGCTGGAACCTCGCGCCCCTCTGCTCATTGCGGCCGCTTGCTGTCCCGCACAGCGGTCTTTTCACTGCACATGGCACACTCCGGCCGTGCCGGCCCCAGGAAAACAACCGCAGCACCCGCATGCGACGCCTTGCCTTGCCTCGCCCCAATTAAGGCCTGCTCTTGCCGGCCTCTAATTGCCGTGGGGGTGCCTCTCTGTGGAGACACCCCTGCGGCAGCACGCACTTTCCCTCGCCCTCGGCGGCCCCCGCAGTTGGGCGCGCGCTGCACCAGCAGCCGCGCCTGCAACAGGGGGTTTGCTGCGAGGCGCAGGAACTCGGACTATTGAGCTGTGAAGCGCGCATGCAGGGGGGGACAGGCGCTCGGCGCCGGATTTTGTGAGGCGAATGGGACTTTGTTTTTTGGTGACGTGGATGCGTGATGCGTTATGGCGACAAGCATGATTTCAGAGAGCAAGTGCACATAACAGAAGCTTCCTTGTAATCCACTGTAGGTTACACTTGCTCATACGTGGACAGGTGCAGACACAATCAACGAGGGCAGCAGTGCAGCTGAGGGAGGGCACAAGGAGCAGCACAGTTCATGCAGTCACTGACTCTCCTAGCTGACGCTGCACCTGCACACGCCACACGACAGCCTCATCCACGGAGGTTCCCAGCCGGCAGTAGTATCGTGGCACCCTGCGGTGCTCTGCTCGGCATTGTTGTCGCATGCTCGGATTGTTTCGCCCGTGCAGAGCAGCATGCACAGGCAGGGTCACCTGGGGCATGCTGGTTTGAGTCCCTCTCAGGCCCCAATGAACCATATAGCATTGCTGCATGCAACAGGATACAACCACCTAGCAACCTTTCGCTTTATCATGGCTGCACCCTGTGGCATACCTGTGCAGTACACATCCCTGGTGCAGCTCTAGGGATCCAGCTCGTTCTGCCCTTGAGCGCTTGGGGTGTCTGACCCGATATCGATGCACTGTATCAGAAGGTATCAACAATGCTGCAAAGTGACCCAAGCAGAGCAGTGGTGATTGATACCTGGAATGGCGGACCTGCTGATGCCGGTGGGGTGCCGCACCGATGGCTGTGGACCTGCATCTCCTCTCAGGTGCTTTCTCTTCTTTGAAGCGGCCCACACACCGTTGTGCACATTCGGCTATGTCGTGATACTACAGATTGTTACAACCATGGAATGGCCGTTGATTTTTGGAACACACGACAGCAAGGATCGCCCTGACAGTTCATGACACCATCTCAAGAGCCAGTGCGCTCGCTACTTCAGCATCGGCCACAAGCGATAGACACTATAGATTCAAGGGGCTGAACGATCCGCCAGATCTGTGGGCTCATCAGGGGCGCCCAAGCCCACCCTCCAATCCCACGTATGGCACGAAGCTCAGCATCGTAGCTCATCAGCGTCATACGAATTAAGGTGGGAAGTACGGCCGCCGCAAGCGGCACCACCCTAGAGGCCGACACGACGCCATGTCTGCCGCCGCCCTGCAGCACGCCACATTGGCGCGCTGCGCCGGGACGCAGCTTATGCCCTGCACCTGCATGCATCGCACCTCCGGCTGGCTCCTAGGTCACGCACCACCGCGCCGCAACAAGGATGCGCGCCAAGGTTGCGCTTTTGGCGGCGGGCATGCTGCTGACCGGGACGATCAACACCATCGCGACCAAGTACCAGGTGCGTTCGCATGTCCTCACGCGAGACACGCATACGGCGATTGCTGAGGCCGCATGCGAGGCAGAACGATGTGGCAATGGCCTCTTGGGGTGCTGGCTTGTTGGTCTCGGCTCCTCCAGCGGGTTGGGAAAGGGAACAAGCCGCCTTGCACTGCGCGGTCAACCTCAGCCGGCCTCATGGGGCCTAGCACGCGGCATGTGGCCGCCGCTGCCGCCCCACCACGACCCTGACGCCGCCGCCGGCCGCTTTGCGTCGCGCTGCCGCGGCCCAAAGGACATCCTGGTGGTGGGCTTTGCGAGCGATGGCAGCCCGGTCAACTTCCGGCACCCAGCAGTGCAGGTGGGCAGCCAGGGCTGCACTGGTTGGCGTGCACATACACACACACACACACACACACACACACACAAACACACAAACACGCGCAACCTTGCACGTACACGCATGCAAAACCAGCATTTGACAGCATTTGACAGCTGCTCGGCCCCCGTGTTGGCGTCCCCCCGCTTGCGGCTTGGCTGCTTTGCGCCAGTGATGCGGCCCCCGCTCAAGCCAGCTCGCCGCACCGCCACCCTTGACACTCAGAGCGCCTTCATGTTTTTGGGGGAGTGCCTCTGCCTCATCCCCTACTTTTACCTCCGATGGCGCCGGCAGAAGTGAGCATCCTGCGCGCCGCAAGCGGATCCACAGGCCATTGCTTCGCTGCTTTTTTGGGGTTGGCGCCCAGCAAGCCGCCGACACAACCGCCCCACCCGGCGCAGCGCACTCCGTATCCCCTGCCCCCAACTCACCTGCCCCAACTGAACACACACAAACACACGCATGTGTGCATCATGCAAATCCACACCCAGACATGCGCACATGCCACGGCGGATGCACATCACGCAATACAGCAAGGCGCGCTCGCGCACTCAGTTGCCCGTCCACATCATCCATGGCCCCTCACTGCCGCCAGGGCCAAGCGCCAGGACCCGGCGTACCAGCCCCTGCCGCAGGAGGAGAAGATGGCGCGCCGCGTCGCGCGCATCATGGCGTTCGCGGTGCCGGCGCTGTGCGACGCGTGCGGCACGACACTCATGAACGTGGGGCTGTTCTTCACGTGAGAGGAGGGCCGGCGCCTCCTGGCGGCCGGCTGCGCGGAGGGGCAGGGGCTGCTGTTGAAGCGCGGTGGGGTGGCGCCGCAGCGCGGCTCCTTAAGCCTGGGCACAGCGGGTGCAGTCCCTGGCAATTGACACGGCGCGATGCTTGCTTTGCTGGTCGACCTACACCCTCACCCGCGCTGCTGCACACACACACACACACACACACACACACACACACACACACACACACACACACACACAAACACCTACTCATACACACACATGTATGTGTGCACGCGTGCGACCCCCTCCAGCTATGCGAGCGTGTACCAGATGCTGCGCGGCACTCTGGTGCTCTTCGCGGGCATGTTCACGGTCGTGATCCTGCGCCGCCGCCTGTTCAGCCACCACTGGCTCGGCATGGTGCTCATCACAGCCGGCGCCGCGCTGGTCGGCGCCAGCTCAATTATATACGCACAGGACGATGCAGTTGCCGGCGCCCATAACGGCCTCAGCCTGCGGGAGCAGGCGGCGCTGCTGCCCCACCTGCCGGCCCACGTCTGGCAGGTGTTGCGCCACGGCAAGCATGGCGGCGGCGGGGACGGCGGCAGCGGCGGCGGCGCGGCGGCGGCGGCGACCGCGGCGGCGCCGCTGTTTGGGGACGTGCTAGTCGTGTGCGCGCAGGCGTTCACGGCGCTGCAGTTCATTCTGGAGGAGAAGTTTCTCGTCCAATACAAGGTCCCAGCCCTGCTTGCGGTCGGCCTGGAGGGCTGCTGGGGCTTTGCGCTGTGCGCCCTCGCGATGCCGGTGCTCACGTTCGTGCGCGGCGGCGACGGCCTGCCGATCGACGACGCGGCCGGCGCGGCGCGGGAGGTGCTCGGGAACGGCGCGCTGGCGGCGGCGATCCTTGTCAGCGTCTTCTCAATTGCCTGCTTCAACTTCTTCGGTGGGTGGCTGGGGGGTGCCAGGGATGAAGGGGTGCCATGGAAGTGGGGAGGGTCGGGGCCCAGGGGAAGGGTATGGTGTTGCAGATGGGTGTGCAGCAGACAGTCGTCGCCGGCTGCGGGTGCTATGCTGTGGGGCTTTTGTGGCCCCTGTCCAGTTCGGCATGGCGCAGCAGGGGCTCGTCTCGGCAAACACCTTTTCTTCCCTCCTGTTTCCGCGCTGCACATTGCTCGCGCCGCGGGCCCACGCAGGCGTTTCGGTGACCAAGTCCCTCAGCGGCGCGGCGCGCGCGACGATCGACGCCTGCCGCACGCTGTTCATCTGGCTGGTCTGCATCCGCCTCGGCTGGGAGCGCTTCCACGCGCTGCAGATCCTGGGGTTTGTGGTGCTGATATGCGGATCAGGGCTGTATAACGAGCTGCTGCGCAGCTGCCTGCCGGGCACTAGCGCGGCGGAGGGCACGGAGGGCGAGCACGGCGCGCGGCGGCGGCGGCACGGCGGGCGTTCGGGGCGCGGACATCGCGAGCGCGCGGCGGAAGACGAGGAGGCGGGGCTGCTCGCGGATGGCGGGGAGGCGCTCTTTGCGCC